TTTTATATATATTGTACATTGCTTACGCATTTGTATTATACAAATTCTTTTTATATAGCGGACGAAATAATCTAATTTATATACAAAGAAGGAGATACATCGCTTTGAATCAAGCCGCGTTTGTGGCGCCTTTGTTTTTGCAGTCTGCGCCAGAGTTTTAAACATTGTTGTCAGTAGTGATTATTATCTGATCAGAACAAGCGCTCGACCATTGTCGCACTCTGTATATATACATAAATATTATATGAATGTATACATGCAACCACAGGATTGTTCATGAAAGATGTTTACAAGAGTTTAATTATTTATCGCGATATAATATATATATATATATTTTTTTTTCTGTTTATTATAAAAAATTCGACAATATATTTAGTTTATAATTTCTTTTTTTTTTTGTGTCGGACATAATTCACGTTTTAATTATTTAATTATTCGACGTCGACATTCGACGATTTTACGACGATAGATCAAATCTGACTTATTTAAAATTACGGTTTTAAAATATAGTTTTACACACTCGATATATCCGACTTTATTAAAATAAATAATTTAAAAATTGAAACTAGCTTGAAATTATGACGGCCGATTTATGTGAAATTTTTCGCGCGGTCAAGTAGGAAGGATGAATATGCTGTGTTTGAACGTATGACATCGTTTCCCTCTATTGCAGAAACAGATAGAATAATATCGTTTTGTTTTCAGGACAAAGTCGTTTTGTTTTTACGTTGGAATACTAGTTCCGAAAACAAAACTAATCTAATTCAAGACTGTTAATCTGTTACACTACTTTTGGCAATCCCGCATATATTTCTCAAATCTGGATGGAAGCTACATTGGTTCAACGTTGATGATCAGTAAAATAGTAAAGTTAGCTTACGATCAAATAACTTGTATATCTAGACAGAGTTAACTTCTACTACATTATAAATCCCGACCGATGTATTCGCGGTCCTACTTCAAGATGTGACAGTTTTTCTATAAGATTCGAGCACATACAGATACACTTTGATTCGACGATTTCTCAAGTATTCTATTTGACACATTATCGTGAACATTTAATGTTATTATGATTGTATTAACGCCATTAACGACTTATAATTAAATAAATCATGTATGGGGATGTAACACACATTTAATAAATACTTTTGCAAATCAGCCTGCGCTTGCTGCTGTTATCCGTTTTTGAGCGATTCACCATGTATATAAAAAAAGATATTGATATTTCATTCTATAATGTTTATAAAATCTATACCATTCATTTAGCATCATTATGCAGACTATTTTTTTTTCCGCACATTTATAGCAATGTTAATATATTAATAATTAATTATATAATTTTAATAAAGTAATTTAATTTTAAAGTAATTTAAGTTTATCATTAAATAATATTAATGCAACTTGTATTTTTTAAAAATATTTTCTTTGTACATGTATTTTAATGTGTATTTGAATTAGTTTATGCACACTGAATTTAGTTTCATATACAATAGTTGTCATTAATATTTTATAATATCGTCATTGTGATTCCAATCAAATTCCATTTAATCGATGATTAATGAAATAACATTTATAATATTTTAACAAAACATAGTAACATAAATATATGATTATTCGTTTTCTTTTTTGGTATGACTAATGCAAAAGAAAAAGTCCAGATGTAGAAAGATGTAGAAGATTTATTTTATATAGTTATTAAAAATTCTATTGTATTATAAATGATTGTATTGGTTGAAATATTCAGTAAATTAATCGATGATTAACTTATCTAATACTGCTTCTACTAATCTGTTAACTTTTTTTTGTTTGTCATATGAAAAAAGAGATTTTTGAAATGACAAGCTAGAAATTTTATTTAAATTGTTAAATTAATCGTAATCATTCATTAATACGAGTAATTTTTTATTACTTAAGAAATAAAAAGAGATTAGATTTTCGAAACAATGAATTTTATGTAGTTAGAAATGTTATTACAAGCGATTGGATCAAAAACTCGCTAACTTGTCATTAATTCAAATTTACACGGATCAAATATTAATCTCTTGTTTAACATATGGAAATGAAAGAAATTAGATTCTCGAAATAATGAATTATGTAACAAAAAATTTTGAATTGTATTATCGATTGAATTAATTAACTTTATTTTATCCATGCAATTAGACTTAACTTTAATTTCAATTTAATTTACATTTTACATTTCTTTAATTCTAAGATAATTTTAAGAATTCTAAGAAAAAGAATAAATTAAACCGTGATAATAAAATTAGAAAGGTAAACATGTGAACTGACGAAAAGGTAAAAAGCAAGTTAAACCGAGATTAAGATTAATCTACATTGGCGAAGATGGACATTAATCGTACACCCCTAGATTCAATCTCGTAGCACGCGGGGCTCCAAGATTCTACGAATACGGCACTGTTTGGAGACGTTCGTGCTGGCTCGTGCCGACCGACAGAGGCGACAGGTGACGACGACGGCGACGACGGCGACGACGACGGGACGGGTAGGTCTTCTCGCGACACTCGTCGTCTCTCGCGGTAAAGTGAAGAGAAGAGGAAAATGCACCGCCGCGTTTCGCTCGCGCTGTGAACTCCCCCCTCGCCGCGCACAGGCCACCGCCGTCGTCGGTCGTCGTCGTGCGGGCGACGGCCCTGTCACTCACGTCGCGCGGACGCCGAGGAAGGAAGGGGTTATGAGGCGCCAACGGCATCGCGGACGATATTTTTGCATTATTACCGACACCATTTCCAGCGCGGCGGATCACCATGGCGGAGAAGTGCAAGGTACGTTCGTGAGGAGGATTCCCGCTGACGACGACGGGACGTCAGGTGGACTGCCAACGTGGCGACAGCTGACGCTAGACAGACGACTCGACCGGAGGTTTCCCTCTCGACTGGACAATGGGAACGCTCTCGCGTTCAGTTCAGCTGAATCTCGTTCCTGTGATTTGTCCCTCGCTTTGCTCTCCCGCACAGACGTCCTCGAGCGAGATTTGTCAATGCGAGAGTTACGCACACGTGTGCCACGCGTGATAATACCGTGAAATGCGTTTCCCGGAAAGCGCATTCGAAGCTCCGTATATTCTCGGTTATCTTTACTTTTCCTTATGAGAGTGCCTGCTTTATGTTTCTTTGTTCATTTTGTTGTGTAGTTTAGTATATCAATGCGCTGAGTTAATAAAGGGAGACGAGCAGAGTTGCACAAAATGTCATGTACTTCTTTGTGATGTCAATGAATTAAAGAATAATTTATATTATTTTGTATCAATTTATGTTGCAATATAGTTGATGGTTATAATAATAACAGCTTTATATAATAGTAACAGCTGAGTGTATTCAAATGACAGTGTAATTAATGGTAATTTCATAAATTCATAATGTGATTTTTTTTTTATCTTAGCATTTGACATATTGGAAATGATGTAAAAATTATTTTATTTATGATCTTTTTAAAACTTTCTGAAGTTTTACCATTATCTAAAGATTTCACAAAATGTATATACTAAGTTATTTAAAGAACACTTTGCCCAGTGGAAAAAGCAATAACTGAAAATGATTTAGATAATACATAACTAATCACTCAAGACCTTCCACAAGAAGGTCTTATCTATAGAACAAATATTCTTTTACAAATAGAAGAATTACATTTCATGTATATATTTCAAAAATATCTTTGGAATATTTGAAATCTAATTTTACTTTCAAAAAACTTTATTCAAAATAATGATATTTAAAAATTTCCTTTAGATAAATAATATATTGTAATATATATTGTAATATATTTCTTAATGCAAACATCAAGATTTTATATTTGTTAATTAACAATATTGTTTTTAAACAAGAGCATATATTTGTGGACTTATCAAGTAATATCCACAGGAATGCGGCTGTAAGTGTAGTGCTTGCAGCCAGGATAGTCAGCAACATTGTGACATGCATCTACATGTAGAGATAGAGAACTTGCGCCAACGATTACTCGAAAGGGACAACCATATCGTGACGATGGAGACGCAATTCTTAAACGAAGCCGATAAGTTTCCGAATGGTGAACTTGCTTCCATGAAGGAGGAGTTGCTAATATGGCAAGAAAAGTATTCGCGTTTGCATGAGGCACATAAGAGAGTTCAAAAAGTCAATCAAAATCTGGAGGATAAGCTGCTCCGAATAGTGGACAAATGCGAGACAGAGAAAGGTGCCTTCACAAAGGATATAGCGACTCTGTCTCACAGATTAGCTGATGCAAATTATACAATACACCGATTAACTCAAGATAATGTGAGCATTCTATTCTTGTTTTAGAGTATTTATATTAATATATTTATATAGATATATTTATATAGGTATTTATATAGAGTATCTACATGTTCTTTTATATTCTTTGATATTATTTTTACTAATCTTTATTATATAAATGGAAAAATATATAAAAATTAATTTATATTTATATACATATGAGAAAAATATATTTTTTATTTTTTTAGGAAAAATATAGAAACGATGTTAGCCTGGCTATTCAATTGCTACAATGCAAACCTTCTAACTTTGTGGGTCAAAAATATGATTCGGTAAGATATCACATTGTCAAAAAAATATAAATTTTGTGTTTTATCGTTCACTTAAAAGTTATAATTACGCTTTGTTTATTGTTGTGCATTTCGCTTTAGTTTCTATGTGAATTTTATGTGTTGGCATTAATAAACTTAAATGTTACAATGACATTTTACTTGTATTTATATAACGTCGCTCGTTAACATCTTATCTTTTATTTTACGCATCAACAATGTTGCACATGCGCATGCATAAGCCTTCACGTTTTCTGTTTATATTTACATCTTTTCTGAGTATGATAAAAGGGAAACAATATATATATAATATAGAAATCCTGGCTTTTTTAGATAAAATTAATTAAGATATTATTAATATTTCTGTTGTAAGCTTTTAAGATAGAGAAGAACAGAAAAAAAAATATATATATATATAAAATACAATCTATAAAGTATATTATTTATAGTAAAAATATATTATTTACCATTTAGATTTTGCTTAAAAAATTTTGCTTTTCTAATTTAAAAGAGAAGGTAGTGCTTTCTAAATAACATTTAAACATACAATATAATCTATCGCTAAAATAAAAAAAAAGGTTTAACATTGTCATTATTGCAGCTGCCTTCCGAGGTGCAGGCTAAAGTGCGAACATACGTTGCGCAAAAGCGATGTTCCACGCAGGATGTAACGCAGCCGGATGTGAAGAGCATTACCGTTCCGATATCCACGTTTCCACCGACAGCGATGGTGTACAATATCACTAAACCTACGGTGGAAAAGCATAGCGATGACGATAGCGACGATAGCAAGCCACCGATGGATATCGTATCGGCGGCAATTATGGCGAAGGTACTGGAGGATCGTGAAAAGGAGAGGATCTTCGCCAAGCACTGCGACACCTGTACATGTCATAGAAGCATTCTCACAGTGGATGCAGAAACGCAAACATGCGTACCTGATACGTTCCCAATTTCCGGAGGTTATACTTACACCGCCGAAAAACAAGCGCCTGAGAGTACACAGAATGACGAGAAGTATCAAAGCAAAGATAAGCTCCAGTCGAATCTCACAATGCATACGGTCCTCTACGAGATCAATGAAAACGGCGACAAGATCCGCCATCATATGAATGGTGATTATGTTAAATATGCCTCGCAAGCTTCATGCATTAAAGATAAGTGTTTTAACAACAGCAATAGAAATGGGCAAGACTATATAATGGAGGAAAATAGCGTCACTACGAGGGCCAGTTTGAACAAGAAAAACTCGTTCCAGAGTCACGAAAATAAGCGTTCGTCATCGTTCTCGAGATTAAATGATCTTAATAGAATAAATATTGATAAGACATCTAAATCTTTGAAGGTTAATAAGTGCGATTCTTCGATCGACAATAGATCCACCGTGAATTATTGGAATAAGAGTGAGAGAAATTTTTTTGAACATTTCAATACCGGCTATTCAACACATACGGATAATCGGCTCTGCGACAAAGAGCAGACGCATATCGATATTATCAATGATAGATTGTGGAAAAACGAGTGGACAAAGTTCAAGTCCGAGACATATTCCTCGAGGGAGAACAAGTGCAAGGCGAATCATGATATCGAGCTTGATATTATCAATGATCGCGATTGGAAGAACGACAGATCGGTGGAGCGGCAGGATATGCGGAACAACGCACAATTCACTCTGATTGAAGTGAAGAATTCGGACAACAACGTGGCGAATCACAATGACGGCAGTCAGACGGAGGTAGCGACTAGTCCGAGCTTTAGCAGTGACAGCATGGTCATTTCTAGTTCCGATCCGTCCAGCAGTTGCAGTGACGTTACGCAATCGTTGACTGGTGGTGCCTTCAACTCGAACGCTAAGTCTTCGAGTCAGAATCGCATAACTGGTCCACGGAACTGTTTAGTTCGAGTCACACCGGGTTCTAAGAATATTCTGTTGGACAACGCTGGCCACTATAAGACCGTTTTATATAGCAGCGGCAGCGATGGTGGCAAAGTCAACACTGCTTTGGTGCATACGAAGAAGGCATCTCGAGCTGATTCAGAACGTTCGACGTCAACCGCCAGCGAAGACAATTCGCCACCAGTGTTACTGCAAGACAATCAATTGCAACGAGTGGCAGAATGGGTACAGTCGTCGATGTGTGTGGAAAATTCCGCGCCACTTGATAGCAATAAGACCAAATGTGTCGAGAACGCTGCGAATGACAATTCATCCATATATCCTAATGATTGTGATCTTACGAAATGCAAATCCTCGGAGCAAATCGGTGATTTGACTCACAACGTTCGAAACACAGCGAAAAAGTCATCTAAGAACGTTGAAGATTATAGCGAGAGGATTATAGATAACGAGCTCATCGATATTAATATTTTATCAGAGCGCATAGAAACAGGACAGGATGAGAGTGAAAATCTCATAACATTCGAGGATGAGCGTCTCTTGAAAGATACTCACAAGAATGATTTAGATTATGAGGTGAAGATCACGAAGGAGATGGAGGAGACGTATTTGAAGCTAGCGGCAAGCCTGGATCCGGTGACATTGAGTCTATCAAGTACCAGCAATGCCGAATTGACGATCGAAAAATACAGAAAGGATCATAAGAGGCTTCATGCGCAGAGAATCCAAGATAAAGCGGGATCAAAAGCTTAACATGTATTTCAGCGAGTTCTTCGAGGATAATCGACTATATCAAGCACAGGGAGTTCCTTTAAAGATATAACAGAGCGTTATTTTTTGTAACTATATCGAAGTAAGGCTGTACCAAGATGAATAGCATAGGGTAAAGAAGTCCTACGCGTCGCTGCAAATAAATCGATTTCGTTTGTGTTTGTAAGCGAGATCCATATGTTGATTTTTCAAAGTGTGAAATGTAGGAAAATTTAAGATAAAATTAAATGCAACACGGTAGTCTGATCATAACGTCAATTATATAATTAACAATTCTAGAACTTTGGGATAACGACACACGTTGAGTCACGCAGAAAACTGCCGTTATTTTAAGATAGGATTATGATTTTATAAACATTTCCTTTCTTCGTAGCCACGAAAATAAGGATGTTAAATCTCAACGTTGATTTGTGATTTTCTGCTCTTATTTATCTGTGAAATCACCATGTGTCTTTTTTTTCTAGCACATTGGTTAATAATTAATCATTTTTGTAGTGTACATAAGTATAGTTTTGTTAGCTTTACTTAAATTTGAGGCATATTTATTTTATTGAGCATAAATTTATTCAATCTTGTATTAAACTTATTAATTTCTAAAATTTGTAAATAAAGTCAAAATGTTTTTTAATTATTAAAGTGATATTAAAACGTCCGTGTTGCAAATAAAATTTACTATTTGATATTAAACGCAAATTAACTTCACTCATGCGAGGATTATAAGGTCAGTGTATTTAATGATATTTAATCGATAATTAATTTTATAAAGAAAATGTAGTTAACATATGTATATACTTTTATTCCCGATTTCGCAATGTAAACATGCCCGGGATTAAAAGCGACGGAGACGACAATATTATAATTGATTTACGATACTCCCTCTGCGAGAGAATATGTCATTCCCGCAGACATTATTTTATGAAGTCTATGACTGACGATGTTAATTTTACCTCGTAATGTATCAAGTATTTACATTTATGTCATACCAAAGTTAGGCCAGCTGCGATAAGGACATTTTAATCCTTTGCACTCTGAGTTATTCTCGCTATGACAATAGCGATCGCCGAATTGTCTCGCGACGCAAATATATGCAAGTGCTAGAATATTTAGAATATAAATAAGCAATTCCTAATATACTCAGCTTTTATATAACGTCGCAATGAGATCTTTCGCTCTATGCTATGAACGATAATAGAGTGCAGAGGATTAAACGATCAGTTAGTCGTTTCAGTCCATCTAATGATACCAATAAGTGTAATTTAGTAATTTCTTGCCGCATTATCGATGCCCACGGTAATGCGTGCGTCGCTTTATTTAACAGAGATTACGTTAAGTTTGCATGGAGATTATTACGAGGAATAATCGCGTATCTGATTTTATAAGATAATCAAGATTCAGAGGATTAAGAAATTACGCATTAAGTTTAATTTCGACTGATTTGTACACAGCGAAGAAGCTTGCTTTCAAGCGATTCAACAGCTTTTGTAATCGTAGCCTCGACGACGCTCTACAAGAATGTTTTACGACAGTCCCGTGAAGAACATTCGTCTGATTTAACGTCGATCTATAAGCTCGTTATTCTGCCTGCGCGTTACTTGCGAATACGTAATCTTGCTTCGTTACGACATCTTGCTTCGTACAGCTAATGACTTAGCTTCAGTTGCATGGGCAATCCGAGTTAACTAGCTCTGGTTAATCTCGTTCTTCCCTTATCATGATCTCATTCGTAATACAGATAGAAATTTAGTTGGAGAAGTAGAAAATTGAACTAAATGAATTTCTACCCGATTCATTATATTTATCTTCTTATTCGAGAGAAATGGAGGAAGGAGTCTGGTGCTACTAGATGTGGATGTAGAGAATGTAGAGAATCACCGGGAGAATCGCCGGGACACTTCGATTTTTTTCATTTTTTGTGGGTTCAGAATTGGGAGGCCCCACACGGCAATACTAATTCCCAGCGATTTGCACGGATTTAAAGGCTATCTATCTACATTGCTGGATGAGAATTTTAACGCACCGTTCGTCGGTGCGAACGAGTTCGCGGGTTCTTCAGCAGTATTAGTCGAACGCGCCGATGATCAGGAGGAGCGTGACGTCGTTTATTTAAGAGGATACGCAGATACAAAGTGTGTGACAATATATACCTCATGGCTTCTCAAGTACCGTGCAATATTAACTTGACCCTTTTGTAATGTAAATTAAGGATCGTGCGAGCCACCGAGAGAGACGTGCGTCGCTGCGCAAAAATCCGAGGTGCAAACCTTCAGAAACAGTTAACAGTGCGTTACGCGAAGAAGAAGAAATAGAAGAAGATATGTGATACATTTCGTACAATCTCGTGTTTGCTTTGTCAGTCGTTCCCAACATGCGATAAATTAAGAAGGTGCGCAAATAACTATTAATCAAATTAATAGACTACGAAATTTACTTTCGCCTCACTGTTTACATCAGTCATATCAACAAGAATCTCCATTTTTTTTTTTTTTTTTTCAATCAATTATCTTGTCTTATCTCCTATACGCATCATTAATTCTTGAATGTCTTTAATATCGTCAATTAAAAAAAAACTCCTTTCCGTAGAGATATTCGAAGTGTTGAGATATCCGAGTGTCTTACTTTGCGAAAAAAAAAAACTCTGTTTCTTATGTAGAAATGACATAAGACAAGTTATCAAAATTTACGAGTCAGTCATAATTTTTCTTTAATGCACATATCTTGATTTAATCCTTTTCAGCTCGTTGCGTCATGTTTGGAGTTTCCGGAGTGACAGGCGTTAAATTAATTGGACTTGTAATTACCGATTCCATGCTCGCGATACTAACTCCCAAACTATGTGAGAGTGACTAATGTTAATTAACGTGCGCGCTAATCATTTTACGCGTCCCGATCGTCTCTGACGTAGAATCGTGGGATTCCTCGTGTAAGCAATTCGTATGTGAACGATCTCTGGCTCGCAGAGGATCGGATTAACTTCTAAAGTTAATCGCGAGATCTAGCCAAGATACGCGAATCGGTCCTCGCAATAAAATAATCCGTGTAAGACAGCCGTACCATTTACTCATAGTCTAATGTATCATACGTATTCAACGTGACGATAATTATCACGTAAACTGTAAATATATATATATATATATATATATATAATAAATAAATATAAATTTAAAAATAGATG